AGTCTTTCAGGAAGGCGACATCTCCAGCGTGCCTTCGGCAAAAGGTCCACCAGGGAGGAAGCGCGCTTTTGGTCGTCCAACGCTACCACTGCATCATAGCCCGCCGACAAGACCTGCAAGGAATGCGGCACTGCGCTAAAGAATATTTGGGCTATTCTGCATCATTGAGAATGGCAGCTTGAGGTGCTGCCTGTACAATGGTAGGTATGGTATATCTTGATAGGGAGAGAGAGCGAGAGAGAGAGAGAGATTGAAAAAATAGAATCATGCTACCTACATGTGTGATGTTCCCCGTCATCAAGCTATCAAGCTTTGACACAAAACAGAACTAACGTCAAATGCCGCCAACCCTCCTCGTTCCCAGCATTCAGCCAGTCCTGGAAATGTGGGCGCAGCTGCACCTGCCGCACCCCGAACTTGCCCCGCAACACGGAGTAGCGCTCATGCCTGCCAGCACGTGTCTTCCGGCATACCCGCGACAAAGTCTTCAACCCCACGAGCACATTCAGGCAAAAGAATCAAAGAACCAGGTCAGGTCCACGCCCAAACAAAACACGCCTTCCCTCATATGTATGTTGTGCGCACACATTCGTGCAGAGAAGGCGCGAGTAGGACCTCCCCAATCAAGCCTGTCTGTCCATCTCTTCATTCGCACAATGAAATTTCTGTCAATGGCATGTACCAATGGCCCGGATTGCGCATGGCCATGCCTGTTGCCGCAATGAAGTCCACGCACATGTTGTCTGCGCATATAATATTTGTATCAACTCTGAATACTGAACATAGATGCAAACCTACAACAGAATCAATATGGATGCATCCGTATGTATTCTGGGTACATACGTGTGCGTGTGTACGCATATATAGACATATAACCCAATGTGGACATTGTGTATATGTTCCAGGTCTGCAGTCAGCGAGCCAAAATATATAGCTTTGCGCGGAAGATGGTGCTGTGACAAGGTCTGACATGTTGCGATTCTGCTGCGCAATGATGTGCGGAAGCTGCCGGCAGCCGCAAAATATGCTGGTGGCTCAAAATTTGCTTAATTTCCTTAATTTCCGAGCCAGGGGGCTGCAGGTTTTAGTCTACTTTATCACTTACCAGGGTTTGATGTTGGCCCCTATTTTCGAGCCACGCCCATTTGGGAACCTGTGCCCCAACTTGCACTTCGAACGGGTCACTGCGGAATGGGCCACAAGCTAGACGTTGGAACGGCCCCACACCCAGCAAATTCCACTGATCCAAGCCAAACGATTTGCGCGTCGGGTAGATACTGTCATAGTCTTGCTGTGACAACCCCCCGACTGTGATTCCCAGTGCCGCGGCACCCACCACAGCGCTTCAAATAGTTCTCCACAGCTGCCAACAGGTCCGGGCGCAAGGTATCTCCGGAGGTCACCTGGTTCGCATGGCCACAAGATGCCACAAGATGCCGCAAGGGTCTCACGGTCTCACCCCCAGTCTCCATGGCACCTCCCCCCCCCGCGTGCCACGTCCGGCTGCCTCCGGCGCCGAAGAACTCCCCGGCTCCGCGGCTCCTTCCGCCGCGGCGATGGCCGCGGAGGCCGCTGCGATGGCGGACAGGTGGGACCTGAGCGACAGAGTCCCCTCGCAACCGACCAGACCGTACAGGAGACCACGTTGCTGTCAATGTCCCCCAGTTTTGTTTGTTGCGAGGTGATGCTTTCTTGAACTTTCGCTATGAACTTTCGTCCCCTGAAACGTGTCGGCCCCAATGTCCACCAAGGGGTCTCCTATTTACACAGCCGCGTGGCTTCCTTTAACACTGGTCCGAATTCAAGTGCAGTTTTTACACATTGACATAGCAGAATGCCTTGACGAGGCCTTTCCATGTGCTTTTCAAGGGACGTACTGAAAGCAGTTCCCACTGATTTGTCCTGCAGTCAGTTGCTGTGTCACAGCAACACTTGCTGCCGTAGCACGCATTCTAACAAACAGCATCACTTACAGATACAATGCGGAAACACAAACCAACAAACAAACATTTCAGCCATCCAATTTGGCCTCATTCAACTCTGGTATTGGTGGCACAACTGCAAGAAGAGTCCTGTGATGCCCCACGACTCGCGGACCACACTCCAGATTGTTCTAATACCATGCGCATTGTGCAAGTATGTCAACAGCCGTTCAATCTGTTCCATTTGCAAACCTCTGCAATGAGGTGAGCCAAATTGGCCAAGAGGTTTAGAAGTCGGGGCATTTTCGCTTGCAGCAAAGCCTCGGGGTCGCTGTAAGCTCTGGATCTCCCACCAGGCGCACGTAGGGCTGGCTCTCGCCATCCAGAATGACCTCCAAAACAGAGCACCAGCGCATCTGAAAGGTCCCTTTGTGTTTGGAGAGGGCATGGGCTTCAGGGCACTCAACGTGGGCAGCGCCACATTTCATCGTGGCGTTGTCTCCACAAAAGACTTTCCTTCGGATCACAAACCATATGCCCTGCATCCCACGGCCATCCTACAGCTGACTGTCCTTTCTCAATAGAAACGCTGCCGAGACGCGCCTCAAAGAGATGGCCTCTGTCCAGCAGAACCTGGCTGGACGATTCCGGACTCTGAGGATCCACCCCCCGTCAAGCCCTCTCAAGGGTCCCAAAGCGCTTGCACACAGGCAGGCAGGCAGGAAGGAAGGCAGACAAACAGCCTGACTGACTGACTGAATGACTGACGGACTGATTGACTGACTGGCTGATTGACTGACTGGCTGACCCGGCCTGTTTCATCTTGGTGGTCTTCCCCACAGCTCGCACCTGTTGTAAGGCCGCCCACTCCGCTTGCACCAAGGGAGCTGAGGCAACCTGGTGGCGCCAAATCTCCGAGAGCCCTCCGTTTCGTCTTCACCGGCTGTAGGCGTTCGCACGGGCTTTCGATCCAAGTACTCCTTTCAGAAGTTGTTCAGGTCCAAATACCGAAACTTCACAGACACCTGGAGAGCTAGTCTAGCGGAAATATGGATGTCTTTTGGGGGACCGAACCCTTGCATTTCTTCAAACCACACTCAACTGGCACAAGACAGGGCTGATGTCCATCCTAACCTTCATAGACTCTCTTTGTGCACAACCTGAACCTTGGACAAACTTGACGTGCCAGGCCTTGTTGAGGGCTGCGAGCTGCCCCTTTCTGCCCAGGAATGAGCACACGGCCCGGCAGAAGGAGGCGAAACTGAGCTGTGGATGCTTTTCAAAAGGGAGAACCCAAAAACGAGCGGTGTCCTTTCAGTTTCCCCTTAGGCTCCCTCGAAAAGGCTGTTGGTCCTCCAGTTAGGGACATGGGAATTTGACAAAATGTCGCTTGTTCAAGGAAAATAGGTTGTCCCCTGACTGCTCTGTCAGGCTCCCTGTGTGTATTAGACTATGCACTTGAAGCGTGTTTGCTGCTCAGTTCCAATAAAGCAAAGCTGAATAGCAACGAAAGCAACAGAAAGCATCCTCACAAGTGCATATCATAATTGTTTCTTTCAATCTGGTTGACCACATGTCATGTAGCCTCGCCGCCACTGCTCATGGTGAGCAATTCTAAAGCAACACTGGTCAAACGACTGTAGCTGGTAGGAAGTAGCGCCGACTAAAGATTCCTTTGCTTTCGCCCAAACAAGCGCTGTGCGTTCCGTAGTTCAGAAGTGTTCGAATCTCCCACCTTACAACCATGCATGCTCAAGCATGCTCAAGTTGGCCGGGGTCCACACACGCAGCTGACAACCAAGTGTATCACCTTTGGGATATCGTGATCATTTGATCCTTGCCATGCCGTTTCAAGCCTATTCTGAGGGTTGAGTGATACCAGGCTCCGCACTGTAGGTCCCTCACAAGATGAGTCTCTAGCAGTCCTACCCACCAAACCAACAGAATAGCAAAGGTCTACCTTGTTCACAAGGTTGTTGGATCTTCTTGGACACTGCAAACGTTTTGCTGGACGCTCACTCGTGAGCCAAGTATCACATCCTCCCCGGCTTGGGCGGTCTGCACGAGGCTTTGCGGCGAAGCTGCCTGCGGCTCCTGCGGAGAGCGAGCATTGTCCACCCCGCCTTGGCGTGTTTGACTTTGCCTTCAAGTTTGGGACCCCCCAAAAAACCCGGAAAACCACAGCTAGGACCCTTTGCCAGGACGGTTGTGCCAACTGATGGCAGCAAGGTTGATTTGCATTTCAATATGCAGACAATCATAATTGCACCTTGTGAATGTGGAATGAACCTGGGAGCAATATTCAAAGGCTTCCAAAGAAATATGCCAAGACACAAAAACAACCTGCTCTACAAGGACTTGGATCCTCGCAATCTGCTGGCATTTGGGTGGTTGTTCAACTGGCCCCTGGTATCCTTTAGGGGACCCGGACTTAGAGCAAGCGGTTTGAGCTTCTGGGCTGCTCCTGAAAGGCATGCTGCACAGGGCCCGGCAGCGAGGGTGCCCGCGCCATGCCATATTCCAGCAAACAGAGTCGGGGCAACCCCTCAAGTAGTGCGTGCGCCTCACGTTTGAATTCAATTTGGTTTGTTCCTGTATCAAAGAGCTTGAAGAGTTGTTTTACCCTGCCTTGTTGATACTTCGACCCTTCCCGGCTGGTAAACAAAGAAGAGGCATTCCCCCACAAGAGCACTGACTCCGCATGACTCATTGCGGACGTTGTCCAACATAGAAAGCACCTGCATCGTCTGCTTGGAGGACCTGGCATGTTCTGATCAAGAGCTGCGGCAGCTTGGAGACGGCACGCGCTTTGTGAGCAACTACCCACTCTCCCCAACGTAGAAACAAAAGAAACATACCAACGAAGCAACGACGTAATAAAACGTGAGTAGCACGCGCGCCCGCACTATTCCTGAGCAAGCTTTGCCATTCCTTCCCTTGGTGAAGTGGTCTCACAGACCAAAGCCGCTCCTCCATCAGCTGCCACCATCTTTCTGTTGCCCCACAGATATTCTGGTTTGCTTTCTGGCTCAACAGGTTGCCGTCCATTTGCACATATGCAGATATCGAGGCACCGGCAAGAGCAATGCCGCTACGGACAGCGAAGGCCACCTGGGCTACAGGCAGCCGAGTGCAGGCCAAGGTCTCTCTCAGGTCGTTTTGCAGTTCCCATGTCCTGTTGCAAAATCATGCCCAACTTCGTGCACTGAGGCGCCAGACCACTGCCAAAACCACGAGTCCAGCCAGTGCAAGCCACCTGAACGGCATGGCTCGCAGCAATGGGCACCTCTATCAGCTTTCTGAAGAATTGTATACCCAAGTTTGCCCTCCCGCATGCATGCCTGAAATCGGGCATGACTCGTGACACTCTGACCAACCCCAAAAGGCTAAGCCCCCGCGGAGCTCACGACGGCAAGACTCACTGGGTCCCTTGCGAGGATTGTCCATGCAGCCACTTGCACCTCAACTGCAAGGCAGTGTCGCTAAGAGCACAAGTACCTACTGCAACGTTGTAGGCTACCGGAATAATATCTACTGGGTGTGTTGGAGTCGTTGCTCGAAAATCGGATGGCCCAAGGGAAGCAAGCCCTTTGGACTCGCAGCGCGAGGACTCTCTCTCTCTCTCTCTCTCTCTCTCTCTCTCTCTCTCTCTCTCTCTCTCTCTCTCTCTCTTCACGTCAAGCTGGCACAGCCCGGGGCCCAACGTCTTGCCACCTTTGCTTCGGAGCTGAGCTCGCGGCCCGGACATGCAGATGTTGTCCTCCGAGACTTCCTCCTGTGAGACGTGAGCCACAATTCAACTGAGTTCGCTGCTCCACCTTCGAACGATGAAAAAACAGGGGCAGATCCAGCATGTCTGCCAGGCCAACTTGCCAACACGCTACAGTCTGCTTCGACTCGCGCGCACTGGGCTTAAGCATCCGTCCTTGGTCTCCTCATCCAACAAGGGCGGCCTACAGGAGCCCACTGTGTTTACAAAGTGAATGATCGCCTCCCCCCAAAGACTGGCGTGGCCTACCAAATCCTGCGAACCTGAACTGCTTTCCATTTCTCTATTGGAGGTTCTGGAACTGATTGGCGAGCTTCACAAGTCCGCCCGGCTGGCCCACTGCGGCTCAGATGAACTGGTTTGACATGTTCGAAAAACAGCTCTTGTTCACACCAAGTCGTATGTCCACCTCCATGCAGGCGCTCGTTCCCTTGTACAGCACAACATGTTTCAAAAACAGGAACCACTGGCAGGCAGATTTGCTTGAACACCTTTTACGACTGAAGCCAGCCTCAGCTCCATCTGCGCCGTCCACGAACGCGGTCGGCCTTGGCCCGTTGGTCGACTCTGCAAACCAGGTCGGCAAACAACGGAAAGCACACTCCCTCCGTGCTGGTCCTGCCAAGCCCCCACGGCTAAAAAATAGGTTTTTTTGGTGTGCGAGCAATCAGTATCGGACCGCCCGGCCCTTTTTTCTCTTCTGATCTGCGTTTGTGTCTGTCGTTACCTACTGAACGCCGAGCGCTAACAGCATCCAAAAAAGACACCTAAATTTTGGGCGTCCTTTTTGAAGACAAAACGCCGAAAAGGCAAAACTTGCTTACAGGGAACGCAAGACGAAGCCCAAGCACCAGCATCCCCAGCATCCCCGGCATCCCCAGCATCCCGCGTGCTTGCTGAGCTGCCAGCACCCACAGCATCCCCAGCATCGCCAGCATCCCCAACGCAGGTCCAAGCGCGAAACACGCAAGCAGTACGCAAGCAAAGAGAAGCGGAGAGGCGGAGAAATAGCCGTCTTTTTTTGACCCAGAAAAGACAAAAAAAAGGCACGCGAAACGAGCCAGCTCAACGCAGAAAGCACCTTGCAAAAGCATGGTGAAACGCAGGTTTTTGCGCAAGAATGCAGCGAGCGAGCAATTCCCGGACAGATGGAAAAGATGCCCAAATGTTAGCCGTCTTTTTTGGACCCAAAAATTCTGCAAATCAGGCCGAGCAGCCGACCCCCACCCCGCTCCCCCCTCTCAACCGCTTCAAAGAAGCGCTTTCCGTCATCTGCGATGCACAACCATGTCAACAATCAAAATGGGGCCCTTGCACTCCAGTTGGACATTGGAAGTGTGTCGTGCATCCAACACGACGTGATGTTGCTGAAGTGGTCAACATGATTGTGTCTTAGATATAACCATATTGGAATGGAACCTGTGTTGCTTCTCTTTGCACTGCTTCTGAAGATGATCTCTGTGGGATCCATGAGTTTGACGCTCCACTCCGGCTGCTTTTTGCATGCCGAAGAGGCATGAACTGGGGAGGCTACAGTTTTTGAAGCATAACACCAAGATACCAACCCGCAGTGCAAGGGCTGTCCAAACCTCTCTGGGCCGCCCCACGCTCTTGACTCGCAAGGCGCCAGAGAGCTTGGAACTGCCGGGGTCCACGGATATCCGACACTTTCTCCGGTTTCAGCGGTGACTCAGATCCCAATGCCATCCCACCTACAAAGTAAACTCCCCACATCTATGAGAAGAAAGTCTAAGGAAGCAAGATATGTCCAGTCCTTCACCTAGATGAGTTTGTCTTAGAGCGGACTGCCCACGCCATGCCAGAATGCAAAACCTTGTTTACATCAGCACGGACAGAATGCCTTGCCCACATAGTCATTGATGCAGACCTGAGCACGAAGTCTACTCCCACGTGTCAGTGGTCTTTGGGCCAGCATTTTGTCAAAGAGCCCCCAGCTTTTCAAAGGTTCCCAGAATTCCCAACTGACATGTGTATGCATGCCTGTGCGCTGCCACTCCCTTTTTGGTAACAGCATCATGCGGAAGGAACTGCGAGCAACACGTGCCGTGCCAGGGAAGGTTCCAAGGCACACCGCGTGGACTGTAATTAGCCTGGCAGTCCAATTCAGAGCTTTGCGTCCTGCAGCTGCACCATCGGGCGGGAAAGTGGCCTTGAGCGCCAAGCAACGTAGTCTGTTGTTCAATGACACATGAGCTGTTCACCGTGTGAGCTGCGTTTGCTTACGTCTGCGTGAAGCAACCATCCTACTGTTATCATGCCCGAGTCGCCTGCGGCCTATGCCTTGGTAACAGGGCGAAGCTGACTCAGTGCCATCAAAATGTTGGCTATCACGTGTTCGTCGCCACCAATTCACCGACTCCGCCCAACAAATTTCGGGCCGTGCTGCGGCATAAAGATCTGAAGCAGCCAGCGCAGCAGGCGCCCCAAGGCACCATTCTGGCTGAGCTTCAGCTGCAGGCGCGAGGGCAAGCGCGCATAGACGCAGGCAGGAAGACCAAAGTGCAGGCAGCCCAGATAAGCGCACCTTGGCAAGACCTCCCTGTAGCCCAGTCATCTCCTTTGTGCCAAAGGGAAATGTACGCAGAAGGCAGAGGTTGGGATCTCCCCCAAATAACCACGGTCAGAAGGGAACGACCGAAGAGCTTGGTCTGCGGTTGTAGAGTTACCATGAAAGCACGCTTCAAAAACAAACGGCTGGAACCCCAAGCATCAAAGAGGCCTATACGCACGAGGGGGCACACATACGTCAAGTGATAGAGCCACCTCCAACATCCAAAGCATGTTGAAGGCAATATCAAACATGAATACTTGCTTGTTGCCGTACCAAAAGGGTTGGCCTTGGAATGGACCATTCAATGCTTCATCCGCAACGAGGGCCCTCCATTCGCACTCCTAAGAAACCTCAGCTTGTCAATTCATGTCCTTTCCGGCTCTGGCAAAACGTAAAACGTGCAGCACCTTTAAAACTGGGACTTGTGAAGACAACATGGCACTGGTGAAGCCGTAACTCGAAGCTTGTCCCAAGGAAAAACCCTGCTTCAAGGGGGAAAACATAATAGGGGTGGGATTCGCAAATGCTCGGCGTCATGACGCAACTGGCAGCCAAAAGCCCGACAAGCTGGCAATCTTCTTTTGGTTGCCTTGATTGTTACCGAGTGCAGGCAAAAAAGTGTCAAACCGGCCGTGATGATATGAATCCCACCACCCCTACCATTCGCTCAGATCCCCTCACATCCAAGGGACCCTAGGCTCATGGTGGCGGCCGCTGCCGTGCGCTGCCAATGCCCGCGCCGGCGGAAGCGTAGCAACCTCATCAGCAGAAAAAACCAGCATCAACATTATCAGCAACATTATCATTGACATCCTCATCATCATCATCGTCGTCATCATCATCATCATCACCATCACCATCACCATCACCATCATCATCATCATCATCATCATCATCATCATCATCATCATCATAATTATGATCATCATTAGCATCATCATCATCATCATCATCATCATCATCATCATCATTGGCAGAATGATCATCCGCAGCAGCAGCAGTCATCATTAGCATCCTCATCATCATCATCATCATCATCATCATCATCATCATCATCATTGGTTCATGATTATCCGCAGCAGCAGCAAGCATCATCATCATCATCATCACCATAATCATCATTAGCATCATCATCATTGGCAGAATGATCATCCGCAGCAGCATCATCAAGTTCATCATCATCATCAGCCTCATCATCATTGTTGGCAGAATGATCATCCGCAGCAGCAGCAATCAGCATCATCATTGGAATAATGATCATCCGTAGCAGCAGCAGGCATCATCATCATCATCATCATTGGCAGAACAATCATCCGCAGCATCAGCAGGCATCATCATCATCATCATCATCATAGTCATCATTAGCATCATCATGATTGGCAGAATGATCATCCGCAGCAGCATCATCAAGTTTATCATCGTCATCATCATCAGCATCATCATCATTATTGGCAGAATGATCATCCGCAGCAGCAGCAGGCAGCATCATCATCATCATTGGGAATAATGATCATCCGCAGCAGCAGCAGGCATCATGATCATCATCATCATTATCATCATCATCATCGGCATCCTCATTGGCAGAATGATCATCATCATCATCATAATCATCATTATCATCATCATCATCATTGGCAGAATGATCATCCGCAGCAGCAGCAAACATCATCATCATCAAAATCATAATCATCATTAGCATCATCATCATCATCATGATCATCATCATCATCATCATTATTGGCAGAATGATCATCCGCAAGAGCAGCAGTCATCATCATCATCATCATAATCATCATTAGCATCATCAGCATCATAATCATCATTAGCATCATCATCATCGTCATCATCATCATCATCATCATTGGCAGAACGATCATCCGCAGCAGCAGCAGGCATCATCATCATCATCATCATTGGCAGAATGATCATCCGCAGCAGCAGCAGGCATCATCATCATCATCATCATCATTGGCAGAACGATCATCCGCAGCATCAGCAGGCATCATCATCATCAGCATCATCATCATTATTGGCAGAATGATCATCCGCAGCAGCAGCAGGCAGCATCATCATCATCATTGGAATAATGATCATCCGCAGCAGCAGCAGGCAGCATCATCATCATCAATAGTCATCATTAGCATCATCACCAGCATCATCATCCTTATTGGCAATGATCATCCGCAGCAGCAGCAGGCATCATCATCATCATCATCATCATCATTGGCAGAATGATCATCCGCAGCAGCAGCAGGCATCATCATCATCATCATCATAATCATCATTAGCATCATCATCATTGGCAGAATGATCATCCGCAGCAGCATCATCGAGTTTATCATCATCATCATCAGCATCATCATCATTATTGGCAGAATGATCATCCGCAGCAGCAGCAGGCAGCATCATCATTGGAATAATGATCATCCGTAGCAGCAGCAGGCATCATCATCCTCATCATCATCATTGGCAGAATGATCATCCGCAGCAGCATCATCAAGTTTATCATCATCATCATCATCATCATTATTGACAGAAAGATCATCCGCAACAGCAGCAGGCAGCATCATCATCATCATCATTGGAAGAATGATCATCCGCAGCAGCAGCAGGCATCATCATTATCATCATTCTCATTGGCAGAATGATCATTCGCAGCAGCACCAGGCATCATCATCATCATCATCATCATCATCATCGCAGCAGCAGCAGCAGCAGCAGCAGCAGCAGGCAGCAGCATCACTATCATCATCATCATCATCATCATCCTCATTGGCAGAATGATCATCCGCAGCAGCATCATAATCATCATCATCATTATCATCATCATCATCATTGGCAGAATGATCATCCGCAGCAGCAGCAGGCATCATCATCATCATCATCATCATCATCATCATCATCATCATCATCATCATCATCATCATTAGCATCATCATCATTGGCAGAATGATCATCCGCAGCAGCATCATCAAGTTTATCATCATCATCATCATCACCACCACCATCATCATCCTTATCATTGGCGGAATGATCATCCGCAGCAGCAGCAGCAGCAGCAGCATCAGCATTGTCATGGGCAGAATGATCACCCGGAGCAGCAGCAGCAGCAGCATCATCATCACTATGATTTTCATCATCATCATTATCATCATTATCATCATTGGCAGAATGATCATCCGCAGCATCATCATCATCATCGTCGTCGTCATCATCATCATCATCATCGTCATCATCATCATCATCATCATCATCATCATCATTATCACCATTATCACCATTATCACCATCACCATCATCATCATTATCATCATTGGCAGAATGATCATCCGCAGCAGCAGCAGCAGCAGCGGCGGCAGCAGCAGCAGCAGCATCAGCCTCTTAATCCCTCTTGTTCTTTCTATGCGATGCTGGTAGAATAGGGGCAGGGGGAAGAGAAAGACCAAATGGATCTTGGCATGAACTCTAATTGGGGACCCGTTGGTGGACATTTTCCCCATTACATTGGGTTGATGAATCCATTCGAACGCCTGGCCACATGGTCCTTTCTCAAAATAGGGGACCCCGTCTTGGATGCTTGTAAAAACAAGCCTAAACGTACCTCGAGGGGCCCTAATTTTTTGAGAAACATCCACATAGTTTGGACCCCCCTCAAAAAAGGTGGCCAAACCGCCTGGCCCTGAAACCAGGGGTAGCCGGGCGGCAGTAGCATCACCGCAGCGCAGGCCAGGAAGGCGCGGCGCCGGAGGCGGGCCAGGCGCTCGTCCAGGTCCGGGGGGAGGCGGAACTCCACTAGCTCACAAATCATCTGGGCCAGGGTCTGAGGTCATGTTGACTGTTTCTGGGGGAAGTCACAAACTGGTTGGTGGTTTTCTTGGGCAGTGACTTTGATACTGATATATATATATATATATATGTAATGGGGCGTCATGGTCGAGCAAAAGTCCAGGGTTGCACCACCCCTAGTTTTTGTGGGAACGTTTCAGGACTGTGGGAAATTTCGGCCTCGTCCTCTGGTTGTGCGGGAAGGCCAGAGACCTCCTGACCACCTCTAATATTCATCCAGGGATGCCCTGGAAGAACAGAATCTCGAAACAGGGACAGCTTTCGCTCTTCTCTGATGAGGACATGGGACATATAGGGCTCGTCCCCTAGATTTTGTGGGAAGTGCGCCTCCCACAAAAAGCGATCAAAATGGTCCATCGTCTCACCTCGTTGCGGTTGTCTAAAGAAAACGTACATCTCTGTTTGTTCAAAGCCCGGCCCTGGGGCTCCAAGGCAAGTCCATTCATATGGGTGTAGAATTTGATTTGGGCCACTGTAAGGACTTTGCTGGACAGTGGACAGGGGTTCATGTCCAGTGGTTCCCTCCTAAAACTCATATCCATAAGCCCTCTCTCACTCCAGACTTTGCCTGCGCAAAATCATCCAGCGGGGGTGAGGTCTGCGCTTGAGGTGCCACAGGCACGACCTCGCAGGGGTCAGGTTCGGCCGCCTATTGCGACCAGAGGTTGATCAGTTGGACATTGCACGGTCTCAGCCATGCAGGGGCCGCCAGAACATACTTTCTAAAGGCTGCAGATTTGGCCAAAAAACGGCTCAAGCGGAGGACCATGTATTTTACCACCTAACAGTCTCTTGTTTGCAATCAACCCTTCTTTCTGCCCTGCCTTTCTAAAGCTAAGGTCCTTCTCGGCGAGCTCCTGTACCTTCGTGGTTGATCAACATTCCTGGCCCCCCAAAACGACCACGGGTAACTTTTCCCATTTGGTGGAAAAAGTGATATATCACTTTTTAGTGGTTTCCCCCAATGGTCTTCGCGCCCAAAACCATGCGCCATGGTTGGCCCGCAGCTGAGCCGATTGTCAGAGACCCCTGAAGGTGACAAGACGGCGTCAAGCCTCGAAGCTCTTGCATGACGCAATCACCGTGACAAAACAAAATCCAACATCCAACTTTAGCAAACGCGAAGAATTTGTGCACACGTGTCTTCATTTGGATGTCTTTAAATCAGGGACACCACAACTGATTAGTTTCCTTCCGGCTTTCCTTCACAACCCTAAACGGGTACCGAGCCTTACAAACCGGAGAGGTGCATGTTTTCCGTGCCGGGGGGCAAGTTTCTCCTCCGCCTGGGTCTGTGAGAGCCCCTTGCAGCTCTCCCAGCTGCGGTGCTGCAGCTGCGATAAAACCGGCTCTGTTAGCGAGGGGAATGACTCCTGGCAAGGGGAAATCCGCCCCGAATGCCTGAGAACAAGCGCGCCAAGAAGAAACATCCGGAGAAACCAAGCACCACCGTTGAGGTCTGTTCACCACATATAGAAAATCAGCGAAACTTGGGCTGTCGCCCTGATCTTTGTGGAATTGGGTGGTCCCCCGTCCTCCGACCTCACACAGACTACCACTATGTTTGGTCAACTGTTCGTGCCAGAATGCGAAGCAAACCGAAACATGCTCGAAAAAACGGTAGGCACCGGTTTCAAGCTTCCTGGCCTCAGACGGAGGTGCATCTCCCAAGGTGGCCTGTCTGGCCAAGCCATAGAGGCGGAGCTGGTCCTTCCAAGCAAAACTTGCTGTTGCGATAGCTAGGGAAGGAGACCGGGGGAGGGAGGGGGGGGGTTGGGAATGAGGCCGAAGTCGGGATTCTCGAAGAAAACCATAGGATGGTTTTTGTTGGGGTCATTCCCTCCTTCCCTAAGAACCAGCAAGAAAAAACATGCAACATGTGCCTGCCATGGCGACTTCCCCCGGCGGCCTGAAAAAGGTATCCCCCCCCACCCAACACGCAAGGCTTCGACTGGCAAGAGTCCAGTCAGCAAGCAAACATGATTCCCTCCCAAAAAAAATACCGTTTTGGGAAGTGCCAAAATTGGAAGAGCCTCTCCTGAAAGCCGACCATCAGCTGCGGCCGCTGCAACCACCGCAGCGCCTCTTGGAATTGGCTGTGGTCTTCTGTTGTGTAGCCCAGCATTTCCCAAATGCTCTTTGTCACGGACACGGCAGCCTGGCACGGACGATGCGACAAGGTTTGCGCGAGACGACAGCACCCCCAGGCCACCAGAAAGCTACAATTGAGCGCCAGAGTTCCGGTACGAAAGACGACCAATATTGCCTAGCTCGGGAGGCAAAAAGCAAGGCTAGGTCTTGCTCGCAAGAGTCCCGCATGCCGCATGCTTGTACATGCCTTTTAGTTGCCTGGTAAGACCTGCAAGCAAACTCATTGCATCGATGTGCTGAGCCAGGATCGGTCCGCACATCAGAGCACCCTCCCATCCACCGCATCCACCGAAGTTCGTAATGAGTTGACTGGCATCCCCAGTGCCAAGGTCCAAGTATTTTGGAACTCGCTAGCTCGGTATCAATCATGAGCCATGCTCACCAATCACGACCATAGCGCACATATCATCCCACAGCAGTGTCCCAGATTTAGACGAGACTGGCCTCACGGAGGTTGGATGCGCAAACCACCGCAGCAAGAGTGGGAGACACGCCAGAGAGCACGAGGCGGACTTCCTGCAGAACAGCTGGCTGGGCACGAGAAAACATACAATTTTTCAGGGGAAACCAAATGGAAACCTTCGCTTTGGGGGCTCCCCTAAGTTCAAACAAACCCAGGTGGCAAAATGAAGGGCCTTTGTTTTGGCGGCTTTTTTCAGGGAAGAAGGTGGGAAACCAAGCAAGCGTGTGCAGAGGTGCTGGGGTGCCTCCCTAATTTTGATAGCTTCTCGCAGGTCGTCCGACTCCATAGACACGGGCAAATTAGAAACCTTGACAGCCTACAAGAACGGGGTGCCAAAGCCAGCCTCACTGAATGCAGCATGGTATGCTGAACACACACACACACAAACTGGCACACTTGGGCAAAGTATGAGAGCGTTTCAGTGATATCGACACTCCTCGCATATCACTGATTGAACCACTAAGCCGCACAGCATGGCGGTCAGGTTGAGATTGCCATTCTTGCCAGATCTGCTAGAGTACTCTCACGGCGACCCTGACGCAACCACACCTCGCGGCTCTGGACCACATCATAGGCCAGAATACCTAAACGCTGGCCCATCTGCATGGAGCGTCTCATCATCTCCTGGGCGATGCGGTCTGGCAGTGGTGACAAGAGGTGAAGGCCAAACAACAAGGGCCGGAAATTGGTTCTGCCAATCAATCCCAAGAAACACGGCTTGCCAAATGTGCAAACCTTTGGCTTGATGGCTAGGGTTTTCCCTGACCTGCAATCTGTTTAGGAGGCTAAAAATAGATAATACAATACACTGCCCCAAACACAAGTTGGCCGCCTGGATGACCACTCCATTTAGCAACTGGCTAAGAATTCTGGCTAGCAAGTCCTCAAAGTGGGTTGCTAGGAATCGTGAATATGGAACTTGTTAACCAGACGCAATGTAACTAAGTGGGATGGCCAAAAACGGGAGCCCTCCAGTCCTGCGGAAGCTCATGAAGCTGCTGGTTCTCCAACATCTGCCGAAGTAGGTCTGTGCCCACCAGCATCAGCCCTCCGGCTGAACTCAAGAAATCCCCGTCGCATTGTTACACATTGGTTGTAACGCGGGGGGGGGGGGGGCGGAAATGGTTGGATCACAAACCTGAACTGGTTAAGATATCTGAAACAAAAAACAAAGCCTGAAAAGAGCTGGGTCTTGAACTATTGGAAACCTGGGCATGATTTATAGGGTTAACACACACATCGTCATGAGCCATGAGCACATTCCAAGTTGGGGCTGCAATGCAAGTGGGGCCTCAAAGATCCTCCTTTGTGTCAACTTGTCTTACCACCTCCCGCAGTTGCTATATCATGTCCTGGTTATGCCGAAAATCACGCAGGAAACTGAGTGTTGGCGAATATCGTGGGTGCTCGCTCCTTGCAACCCCACTGGCGGAGTGACATGCAATTTTTGCCCAGTGCCATGTTCAAGCACAGCGATCGGCGAACACGCGGCGGCCTGACATCAGCACCACAAGGCTCACCCAAGCCTCCCCAGGACCACTCGGCTCAACTCAGCATGTCCTCCCTCAGGTTAGACTTCTCTTGGTTGGTTTTTGTAAATTTATTTGTGGCATTCCCAAGGAATCTGATGGCCTCGTAGGCACGGTACAAGCAACGTCAAGGACGTTTGGCACTCGCAAGGGCAATTCGGTCGCCTCCAGGGGAATCATCATCAGCAGGCTAAGCAGCTGACGCAGCAAGCCCAAGCTGCCCAGCAAACACATGGCCAGGCCCACATGGAGGGACGACAATTTCCGCGCCATGGCAAGAGGCTCGGAGTCTTCCACCCCCAAAGGCGCACCAAAAGCAGCCAAGAAAATCGAAAACGCCCCGTCCTTTTGACATGTGAAAGCTTCTATGAAATAGCTGACTGACAAAGAACTTTTGACTTTCGGCCGTCTCGACTTCTCTGTGATGGCTCAGAGTCTCACACTTCTGAACCAACCTGCACAGGCATTCGTGCGGCCTTCCCTGCATGCAGAGTGACAACGGACAAGAGCTACAACAGCCTTGCCAACGGCAAATAAAAAACCATCCTGTTCTTTAATATGGAACCCACCAGAGGGTCCATTGAAAAGGACAATTTCTTCCAGCAACCTCCAGGCAGGTTCTATGCTAACGGATGTGAGGGTACTCGGATCAAGGACGACAATTTGTAAAAAGAAAAAACAGAGACTTCAAATGAAGACATCGGAAGGCTGTTGTGAGGAGTCGGAAGGCATCAAGTGCTAAACAGCTCCACAATAGCGCAGGTCGTTTCACAAATCTTGGGCCCTGGCCAATACCCAAAACAAGAGCATCTCGCAGAAGGAGACCCAGGCAACCCAGACCTCAGCAGAGCTTTCGTGAAGGGCCATCTTGCTAGCATCGCACCAATCCAAAAAATGCGAACACGTAAGTTATGCGTATGCTTTGAAGGAAAGTTGCGTTGCGAGCAAAACGCTCCTTCGCTTCATGTCCGGGTAAAGGCAAGAGTTTTCCTTGCCCTTTCACACATGCTGCCTCACCACACAGCTTTGGGCGTATCAGCTTAAGCTGTCCGAGAGAGGCCATGTCCGGCTGAATTGAGTGGCCAGTGGGCATCTGTCAGCTACGCAGCTACGAATAAGATCCACACCAGCCAGTCTGTCGCAGAGCCGGTGGACAAAGACACCTTGGACACTCCGTCACACTGGATCCTATTCCACTTCCCGCCAAGTGTTTTGAAGGGGCGACCTCTGGAACTCAGGCGGCGGCTAGGATGGGCAACAAATCCAGCGGCCCGTAGAGCAACAGGCATTGTACCTCACACGGCCCGTGTCCGGCAGTACTTCCGACAGGTTCTGCGGTTCTGCCAGATGGATTGGGTAAAAGTGACGAGGCGGACTTGATTTGGCCAAAGGCCAGAGCTTACCAAATCCGTTGAAAGGAGTGTCCAAGTTCAGAGCAACTCATCCAATTGGAAACAGGGCTTAAGGCTACCAAACGCGATGAATTCTCAATACCCACCCAAATGGTTGGTTTGGTGTTAAATATTTGAGACACATGATGCGAAGCGAAGGCTGAACCCTTTGGGGGGATGCTTTCAAGGGAAACCCACGGGAAACCACCTGGCCTACAATTCGCTCGCTCGGCTTCTGGCTGCCAGGTCCGCTCGCGCCTTCCAGAGGCCTGGTGTGGACCTGGAAATTGATGGTTCTGGCATGACCCGAGCAAAACCATCCTCTATGGTTTTCTTTAAGGGAAACCCCTTCCGGTTGATTCATTGCGGAAACCCGGTCTCGGTCATTCCCTACTGAGCACCTCCCCTATGGCTTTCGTTAAGGGAAACCCCTTCCGGTTCATTCCCAACACCCGGTCTTGGTCATTCCCTACCAGTTTTACCAGCAAGAGAAAGGGCGGTGGAAAAAACACTGAGCAAAGAACCTCCAACCTTTTGTTCTCGAGTTGCCAGCCTCGTCTTCAAGACTGGAAGCCCAGTCCTTGCGCCAGAACTGCTTCCAAGTGGCTGCTTTCCAAATGAACTGTGAGGTCTTGCTTATGAGTCTTATGAAGGAGTCAACACATGGACTCGCCCAAAAGATCACGGAACGGATCTTCTAGATGGAAACTTCACATTGCTTAGCTCCGTGGCTGCAACATCATGATTGGTTTACGCGTTTCTTGGACTGAAGGAGCACACTGTCATTTTCGTCGCCCGGCTGCGTTGCGTCTCACATGTGTTCAAGGTTGGACATGTCTGACTCGTTGGGCCCTGACGGCAAGCGGCGCTGACCCCGCTCCTGCTGTTGATGCTCGCCAAGCAAAAGAGAGCCCTGTACACGATGAATGCGTCATTGCCTGAGACATCTCGGGCACGTGTTTGTTTGAACCTTGACGCCACACGCAAATACCGTGTCCTTTGGGATAGGAGTGGACATATGGACAAGAACGGACAAGAAGCTGCACGTAAAAGGGGGGCCAAAATTGAATGACAGACCCGCTGAGTTCCCAACATCAGAACGGCTTCTCCGCAATAAAATTGGGTGGTGACGGTTGCCCTCAAATACTCTAACACTCAAAATGTCCTAGGGATACTTATTCAAATACTCAAAAGACAGTTGCCCTCACACGCACGCACAAACGCACAAACACGTGAACATGCGCGCCCGCCCGCACAAACGCACGTCAATTGCACAATTTGCGCAAACGTTCAATCGCACGTATCTTTGCATATTCCAGTTGCTTTGCAACAACAATAGTTGATGTCTGCACTTACACAGCTGCCTCCAAGCTGCTACCTCTGAAAGCCCATCCGCTATTAGGTGGCCCGGTTGCTCCCAGGTCCCAAATTAAATGGCAACCCGCAAAGTCCGTGCTTTCTAATATAGTGTCACTGATTGCTAGGCTCTTGCCGAAGACTGCAAACCGGGGAAGGGCCCGAAACGAACTGATCTTCCACAGTCTTTCTCTGGTTGCCTTTCAAAAGCGACCCTTGAACCCCCCGCCTTCAGGGACCAAGTTTGGCATTGCCTCGACTGAGGCTCAGGCGTGCAGCATCAAAGACCAGCATCACCTGGACCAAAGCAAAGTGCCAGCTCCCCAGTGGCACAATTTGATCATGCAACATGAATATGAGAATGAGCCTGCTTCGGTTCAAGAATGTTATGGACTTCTTGGGAAGTGCTCCTGCTTTGGGGCGGCTGCCAGATTGCAAGGATGCAAGGCTGACACAATGATGGGTCAGTTGTGAAAACTTCCACCACTCAGAGTTGTCAGTTCAAGGCACGGATGAGCAAAATGTCGCACAGGAAGTGACAAAGACATGCTAGCACCCTCTTCTGCAAGCGAGTTCGCAAAAACACTTGGTCTATATGAGGGTGTCTCAAAATTGGGGGACCATTTTAAGGGGTTGGCTTCCTTTTGGTTTTCGTTGATCTCCAACCGAACAACGGGTTCCCAAATCAAAGACACCCCCATATTTATCTCAATCTTGCAAACCTCTGTGCCTTCGCAATGCCTGGAAAGTGTTTGTAGGCTTTTGCTCCAGAAATTCTCCGCATGACGCAACTGAGCACCGCACCCCAGCATGGCAAACGTTGGAGCCCCACGAAAGCAGCATCGCGGACAGAAGGCATGCCTTAGAAAGTCAGGCCCCGACCTTCTCCAAATGCTGAAATGCTTAGCACGTGCACTGCACTGCAGTGACCAACCCTGCTGTGGTATTTTGTGGTGCTATCAGCCAGAATGTCTATCCTTGATAGTCAGGATACTTCCGTAGTGACTTCTACTTCTGCTCATCATCTGAGCAGACGGAAAGTCCTTCTCATTCAGCCGCGAAGATAATATACTATTGCTTCGGTGTCTCCTCGTTTGCTGTGCTTGCCACACAAACATAGCCACACGGATAGAATGCTTCAGAGCAGAGCGCCGCTGGCTACTCCACTCCACACATCCCTACAGCAAAACTGGGGGTTTGTCCACAAATAAAGCAGAAGGTAACTATGATCCCTGTAGGAATGAGTCAATAATGCTTGGCGCCCCGCGGCAGCTATGCACATGGACTCTGCCTCGTCATTTGCCAGTTCACTCATACCCTTGCTGCAACCAACACAATAGACAAAGACTGTCTCTAGACAGCCATGCTTGTCCCAACAAAGGCGAGAGCATCCGGCAGCATCTGTGTCTTTCGGAAGGCTAATGCTATCGCACAGTGGATTCCTGACAAATACTGACATCCCTCCAACTGGAAATTGATCTTCCAGGTATCCTCCAGGTGCCAACCATTAGTGGGAGGGAGGGTAAGATCCGCCCATCATCTTACTGTGCTTGTGCCAAGTTCAACTCTGAGGTGAACGGACCAAAATTTTACAAGCGAGCCTAGCACTTAGCCACAACCAACTCGGCTCGGGCGCCACCGCCTGGTTGCCAGAGACCCAGGGGTTGCTGAAGAGCGACACATAAAGGGCCAGGAAAGCCTAGCGAGCCACGAAACTCTGGATGCCACGTCCACTGAAAACTGCCAGGATGTGGCACCCCTTGCCTTCGTAGCCAAAATCTGTACCAAACGTTGGTGCCGCATGGCGATCCGCATCCACATTCAGCTGTTGCTTTCAGGGAACTGACTGACATCCCAATGTCCCATGGTTCTCCTCCACCACGGTCAGCACGGTGATGCACAAGCCCACAAGCATGCACCAAACCTCGCAAGCATGTCCCGGTGAAAGCATCAAGGTAACTCCGCAGTCATCAACTTGTTTCTTCCGAAACTAAAGGATCCCGTCGAAGATGGAAGATGGGGCACCCTGTATCCACCTGGGTCCTATTAATGCTGGGCTCCCATTGGCTCAACTGATGTTCCACCGCTACTGAGGCTGGTCGGGAATAGTGGCTAATCTCACCCAAAAAGTTTGCGGCACGTCTGCCCCGAACAGTTCCACCTGGAACGGCATGGCTCAAGGCAACCCTCATTGAAAGTTTTCCAAGGCAAGCTGAAAGGATTTCCAGATGTTCAGATCGCATGGGACGCTGCCCAAGATTTAGCTCAGAGACCTGGAAGGTGACGGGTAAATTGTCCACAAACGTCGAGCGATCCCGCACTCAAACTCAAAAGTTGTGTTTGCTCAATGAAAAGAGCAACACGCAAGACTAATCTGACACATGCTGCACAGAATTCCGTCATTGGTTCTTCATATCCCAGGCAGTCCATGACACCCCGAAGCAAACGCTTTGAACACCAACAGCCCCACAGTCGCAGGGCAGCCCTTCCCCTTCCCCAGCCGAGCCGCGTGGTAGACCCGCAATGCCAGCCATGCCGGCGAGCGCTTCAGTTCCGGCGGCACCTGCCCGGGCCGGGGCCCATGTGCCCAGCCGAACACAAAGTCAGCTGAATGATGGCACCACATGCGCAACCGGTTGCGCAAAAGACGATACATAACCCTTGAAGAATCCTGCCGAGCCCAGTAAGATCGTCGAGCAACGCGTATCAAAGCCACAAGTATCTCCCGCACCTTGGGATGCAATGTGCGGGACGAGGTCCGTGAAATGCCTGCTAGAGGCCAAGTCTCAGCGGTCTTCAAAGCAGCAGCAGCAGCAGCAGCAGCAGCAGCAGCAGCAGCAGCAGCAGCAGCAGCAGCAGCAGAATCAATGTACTGCAGCTGTGCCGCTACACTCCTTACTGGATGCGCCACCCCTTGCAGCCCTTGCCTGATGGAGAGTTGAACACCTCCCTGGCAGAGCGGTCAGGAAGCAAGCCAATACCACAGTTGTGCACTTGTAGGGAATGGTGAGCAGACTCACTCCCATATTCCCTAAAAACGGGCAAGGAGACACATATTGCAATGTGGCTGCTCATGGCAATTCTACCGCGATGCAAACACGTGCATCCGCCAGCATTCAACCTGTTCGCGGCCTCACTGCATGCTGATCAGCCATTGCCTGGGCAATGAGGTACCATGTGTGAACACATGGCTAGACTCAAACAATGAAGTGCAAAAGGAAACAGCATCTATCATTGACAACCCACGCACCTGCAAACTACCCAAGCGGAGCCATGCAGGGGATCATTCTGTGTTGCACGCTCTGGCCTGTTCTTTAGAGGCAACGCCTCTTTCAGGGGGTTGCATCAACATGTCATCATCGCCGACATCGCTCAAAGCAGAACGACAAGCGCTAAGCCTACGGCCCAGCAAAACCGAAAAATGTGGGCAGTGGCACAAGGCGCTACACAAGTAAAACTTTGTCACACGTCAAGTGGGCCACGCTCTGTGACTTAGAGGCTTGTGGCCTTGATTGTGGACCATGCGGCCTGCGCTTCTTGCAAACTCTGACACCTCTCCCCTGAATCCGTGGCTGAATTCAACTGGCTGGCTGGAGAGCCGAATTATATAGCGATCTCATTGACTCATGTCGCATCGAATTGCTGGTTGCAGTGCTGCAAAGCCAAATGGGATGGCGGCGGCATGCAAAACAAGTGGACGCTCGGGATTGGCAGGCTTCCACGCACACCATGGGAGTCCTGGAGGTCGTGCGTGACAGTTTTCTAGTTGTGGTAGGTACATGACTTGCAGGCTTTAGGGTGCATAAGTTTCCTGTGGCACCACGTTGTGTGTGTGTGTGACTGCGTATGTTTGCTTGCAATATCTTTGCAATAAGTAGGAAAACAATAATGGCCCTTGACGACTAGAATACCACGAGCACGGTCCCAGCAAATGCGCTTACCCTGGGATGTGTCTCATGGACTCGCGCCTCATCTGCTTTCCGCCTAGCTAATTCCGGTGGAGCGGAAGTGGGGCAAAACGCTCAGCGTGACTCAAAATCAGATGGCAAAGACCAGGCAGGCTTGCATCAAAAAATGCAAGCCAAATGCATCAAAAGCTTCACTGCTCCAAAGGCTGGTTTGTCATCTCTCATCCCACAGCTGTCCAAACATGTTGTTGCCATTGTCCTGGCATCCCCTCGCATGGCTGAGTCTGAGCTGGCGACATACCAGACCTGCAGCACTGAGACGTCTTCTGAAGCCACAAGCCGGAGCAATTAGACGTAGGCTGAAATGCCCAAAGGCTTTGCCAATTCTTTCTGCAGGGAAACAAACGAGATCAAGTTACAACAACGCAAAATTACGCGAGTTCGAGAAGACCGCGCGACCCGAAGAAAGCGGAGAAGGGAGCTCCCACAGTGAGATGCAAGGTTGCGCAAGAACACCCTTGGGTCCAAGCTTTTTCCGCGGCGTGTTGTTCACGCTGCGGCTGTGTGCCTAGCAGCAATCTCACCATCTGGGGACACAATCAAAACCTGGTAAAAGAGGTCCACCCAAACCTTGAAAAGAATGACTACTTGTGGTTGAGACTCTCCCCGACTAACCTTCACTCATCTGTTGTAGTTAGGCGCGAAAACTTCCCAGATGCTAGCAACCAGTCATATTATCATATTCCAAAAAGAACTGTCCGAAGAATTACCGGCTCGGGCTGATTCACCGGGAAGCAACTGGAACTGTTCCGTTGGGGGCTGGCACGGCTTAGGTTGGGCGGGGGCAGCGGAAGCAAGAGGTCACAACAAAACAGGTACGGCAGGCACAATATTGAACATTAACACATCAAGCAAATAGGTCACCACCCACGACAGCTAAGCAATGGTTCGATATTGGCAAACAACAACCGATGCCATGCTGCCACACAACGACTCTTGCAACTCTTGCTCGCCCATTACACAGCCTCCTTGGAGGTAGACATCCTGGCAGCGGTTCTTGCTTGCTGAGGGCCATCTCAAAAGAGTAGAATCACCGCTGAATGGCAACCTTCCACGTTGTCTCATGTTGGTCATGCGCTCAAGAATACCCACAATGATTGGCTGTGACTCCCAGTTTGGCCTGTGCTGTTGGGGATCTTGCGATTGTCAGCCGAAGAGCACGCCAAGTCAGCCAGATTGGCTCCATGCTCTCGAGCATGGGTACGGGGCCTGAGGAAGAATCCACCACCACGTCCTGCAAGTCGAGCTCGCCGGGAAATGGCAACCCGAGTAGCCGCTAGGAAGGAGGCGCCACCAAGGAAATACTACCAGCAATCGATTCTTACTCAGCAAGGTAACAAATCTGAGGCTGGAGTTTCTTGACCGAGGTAGCAATGAGGAAATGTGTTGCTTTCCCCGATTCGAAAGCATCGACCCGTATCCGTGGTGGTCGGCTCACCACTTGCCTGTCCCCTCTGAGTCTCTGAAGCTCTGTATCCTTCACAACTCATAACTGGTGAGGGCCTACGTTGACTGCTGCCCCATCCACGCCAATACTGGCAACTTAGATTGCATCCGAACAGAAGAGGATGCAGGCTTCTGTCAGATCTGTCCCGCTGGGCCGCACCCAGGCGGTTGATGTGCGCGTGGGACTCAGCTGGATGTGGCATGCCTTCCAGTGCCTTCTAGTTGCAGCATTGGCATCAGCATGGCCAAAGCGCACAAGGGGAACGTTCAAGAAACGCACTCAGATCATACTCTTGCTGGAGTTGTTCGAAGCGGCTCCTTCGGCTGGGGTGTTGGGTAGGCTCTTTGTGCTGAGCTCTGGACGCGGAAGTGCTCCAAACCTGCGGGAGCTCAATGCGCAAACAAATAGCACCGAAAGGCAGGCGGTGCAAGAGGTCCTCGGTTCAATTCCCAAAACAGCCCATTGCAGCCACTCCCCACTCCAACAGCGAACTTTGCAATTTTTAACGGTGTGCTACCGGCAAACAGGCAGGCAAACAAACCACACACACCAACAAACACAAAGATCCAGCAAGTAGCAGTTCACTCGTCTTGGCTCTCTTTCACCAACCAATACGCCTTCCAAACCAATGCTGAATCAGTTTCGCGTTGAATAGAGTGAGCAGCGCATGTCAGTGCTCAAACCGAGCAAATGCGTCAAAAGCCAAACCCTATCGCCCGAGGCGAAGGCGCTCTGCCAGGGAAAGCTCATGGGCAGGCGAGCTGATCATCGTCTGGCAGTGGACAAATCTCCAAAGCAGACGTCACCGCTGCAACACACGGCTTGAGTTGCCTCACAGGCCCTTGCTGCGTTAAAATGCAGTGCAGCAAAGATCAGTCCTTTATGAAGCTGGCAACTCCAAATCAAGCTCTACATGCTCGGAATCCGGGCTGTGGGATATGGTCGAAGTGCCACCCACATTGATATAGTGAACTGGAGGATTTGGCGGTTTGTCAAGACTTGGGTTCCCTTTTGGTGCTCTCTTGCGTTTCCATCCGAGCCCGGCGAGGCGATTAAATCTCCATTTTGGGCCTGCATGCCACCGCGCATCACCAGCTGCCCTGCTGCACCTTCGCAACGAGCTCTTTGCATGTTGAGCAGGCAACTTTTGGAGTAGGGCGCATCCTCTTTTTCCAAGAAACTTGTTGCTTCCAGGAGTCATCCATGCCACGCTTTCCACCAGTGATCAGTTACAAGCCCCATGGGTTCTTGGGAGGTTTGTGTTCACTCAGAGGCGAAGCAACACAAGGCGTTCGCCCCACCTGGCCGTTTCGCCACGTTGCCGCCACGGGCACCTTCCATGGCCAACCGATCTGAGCTGCTAAGGGCTCATCAATTTCACATATGCGGCATGCGTGCTTCTCAAACCAGTGGTACCTTAAAACGGCAGCGCTTTCCTTTGGGGTTCCCTTCAAAAACCACCTCGTTTTGGGGTCGCACCAATGTTAACACACATGAGCGCTCATTTGGGCAGTTGGCTTTACTTTTCCTGGGCTTTTGAATGCAATATCCGATGACTTGCCTTTACAAACCGCCCAAGGAGGCGGCTCTTTGTCTGGGACGTGCGCGGCCACCGGAAGTTTCCACCGAAGCCTCCGATCCATCGACTCTCCGACTCTCCCAGTTCATGAGCCCAATCTTGAATGATCTCAGGCTCTGGTCCGATGGGATGAGGCTCCAAACGACTTGAGCCCTTACTTAGCCATCTTATCCACCAGGGTTTCTGCCCCGCAGTACTTAGCCATCTTCCTGCTTCGTGGAAACCCAGGGCGTCTGCTGTTGTCTGATGGCAAATCCCGCCCCAAATGGGACCTGGCATTGAAAGACTGAGTGGAGCTTCCCTCTTCCCAGTCGCCTCCAGGAGCAGCCCTCGCAGGCTCCTGGAGTCCAACTTTACTTTATATGGACACTTTCGAGTCAGGGGACCCAAAAACAGCTTGGTTTCCGTTTGGCTTCCTGCTCAAACATCAGCCACAAGGGGGTCCCCTGAATTTTCGGACACCTCCAAAAGAAACCACAACTGCAGACAAACTGGGCTCACACAGTGACCCTACTTCTGTGTCGTCCTCGTCTTCCTCGAGGTCCCGCTCGCCTGTACAAATGACTGGTGCTTTCGGCCAGTCGATGAAACGCGGCTTTCAAGAAACCACAAAGATGCATCTGAATCTGCAATTACTATGAGTAACTTCCTCTCTGCACTAAACAGTGCAAAACAAACTACACGTTTTACAAGATCTTCCAAGAGCTCCATAGACATGAGTGTGAGCTTGTTGGAATGCAGCATTTGCAGTGCCCTAGTTGGCGAGCATCCCCTTACCACATACAGCTCTGCCTTCAAAGTCGCAGGGCTCAGAAGCCTGGCCGAACCATCGAAGGGCCACGCCATGCCTTTCTGATGAATCTCCCAGGCCCTGTCTGCTTGCCCGTGCATCAGAGGTTCGGAACAACCCTCCAACACGAGTGCTGTTTGCATGAATGTCAAAAGCAAAGCAAACTAAGTGTTCACAGTCCTGTTTGGAGTCAAGACACATGCGCGCCAATTCTGAGAGCACCTTTTTTGGGCTCATCGTCAGGGATCAGATGCAATTGCTGGCGAATTCGGTCGCCAGGGGATGCAACAGGAAAAAGCGAGGTTCCCCTGCACCGTCCTCCTTGGGTTGGAACATCTGCAACGTTCAGCTGCTGTGTCTGTACACTCATGAATGCGCCTCCAGACACATGCACCACTTCTGAGAGCACCTTTTTGGGCTCATCGTCAGGGATCAGATGCGATTGGTGGCGGATTCGGTCGCCAGGGGATGCAACAGGAAAAAGCGAGGTTCCCCTGCACCGTCCTCCTTGGGTTGGGCGGGAGGGTTGAAAAATCTTGGAAATTCGAGCTGAACATCTGCAACGTTCAGCTGCTGTGTCTGTACACTTATGAATGCGCTTCCAGACACATGCGCACCACTTCTGAGAGCACCTTTTTGGGCTCATCGTCAGGGATCAGATGCGATTGCTGGCGGATTCGGTCGTCAGGGGATGCAAAAGGAAAAAGCGAGGTTCCCCTGCACCCTCGTGCGACCGTCCACACCCCATCACGGAGCACAATGTGTTCTTTCTGCAAGATGCCAGGCCGTTGCCCTCTGAAATCCTGCATCCAAGGAAGCAGCGTCGGCTGCCAGGGTTTTGTAGAGCCGCTGCCAATCTCCTTCCACCTTGGTCCACCTTTCGGCGCGGGCCTGAATGAAATCCTGACGGGATATTGGGTCACCTGCTACCGGAAAGGCGCCTTTTTTCTGGCCGTCTGTGTTTCCCCACTTAAAACTGGCCGTTTCAAGGATTTTCGGCCGAATCCCCAAAAGGCCAGTTTTTTGATTCTGGGGCATACCCTATCAGGACCCATCCCTTCCCTTCCCACCTGGGCCGCGAGCGATTTGGCACTCCACCATCCACATGCATCAAGATCGTGGCTTCTCAAGGATTCCCCAAACCAAACAAGCACAGTGAGTTGCCCCGTGATTCATTAACGTTTTTGGGTCAGGAGTGTCAGCTCAGAATCCCCAAGTGGTCAGCTGCTGCTGCCGTGTACCGCTGAAGGGTGCGTTTGTGAAGCAGCCGCGCGGACACACGCCTGCTCAAGCGGGCGACTCTGCCAATGAAATCCTCACATTGGGCCGCGCTGTCACATAACGGATTGTATGTATGAGGCTTGCCAGCCCGAACATCACACATCATTCTGTACATTGTGTGGTGCCAATAGTGTACCTTGGGAATTAAATTGTATACAAGACGGGCAGGGGTTTGCGAGCAACCCCACTCAGCAAGCTTTGAATACACTAAGCCAAAGTCCATGCCATACTGAAATATCACCGATGCGTCTTTGGCTTGAATGAAGGCAGGTGAGGCATACATCAGTCGCATGGCCTTCCGCACGCAAACGCATCCCAAATGAATGTAAAAGAAAGGCTTCTCTTGCTTCAGCGTATGAAGTGGCCCATTCGGCCCATCCAGCAGCCATTCCACAAAGCCCATCAGCACTACACTATCTTGGCCTTTGTTCCACCCTCCAGAAGCAAACTCGTTCGGCTTGCCAGCGCCAATGGTAGTCTTGGCGATGTCACCGCAGTCCAGGCGCTGCTTAGTTTGGGCGAGGAAGATTTTCAACTGCAAGTTCATGGAGTCCATGTTTCGGCCCACACTGCCCATCCCAAAGAATGGCAGCATGAGCTGCAACGATGATGCTGCGTACTCCTTGTAGACCCCCATTTGGAGCACATGGAATAAGTCTATCCGAAAGAACTCAGGAGGGAAGGCTTGGTACATGAGTATGTGCTTCAAGATCCCCGGCAGCTCCGCCCAAGGCAAATTGTCAATGTCATTGAGGGACTCGGCCCACGCTGGTTCCCTGCTGAAATCTTCAAAAGCATAGCCCCGGGACCCTGCCAAACATAGCCAGCAGCAGCCAACCAGATCACGGGACCGCTTTGTTTTCGGGCGTTTTCTGATGTGACTGAAGCAACGGGTCATGGATGCAGACTTGGCAAGCCACGGAAGATCCCCTTTCATGCCAATAGGGGCAAACTTGAAAAGGCGGCCTTCATGCTCATAGCCATTGTGGTACAGGTCACCAGCTGTACACTCCAAGCCTCCAGAAGTGCATGTAGGGGGGCCGGGTCCTTGCTATAGTATTTTTTGTGGAGCACTGCGTAAAGGAATCGGGTTTGTAAAGAATGGCCCAAGAAGTTTACCTGCGGCTGCAACTGCTCGGTTTCAACTTGTGCTTTCTCTCTACAGATACGGGTTCCACTGCCACACACCGGCTGCATTTGGAAGACAAGTAACTCGTTTTTGCGGTAGGTCCTGCCGCCATCTCCGTGTAGATTGATGGGCACCAGCGTTGCAGGGTTCACACGGCCAGCCCTAATGTCTGCACAAACATCGTGACTTGGATTGAGAACCTGAAAAGCGTCCCAGAAGCTCTTGAAGATGATGTCACCTCGGGGGGAAAGCCAAGACCAATTACAACATGTTTAAAGCAAGGGCCAAGCATGGTTTTCAATGGTTTTCAGCGATACCCAAAATCACATGAAAGACACACAGTTGACACATGAAAGACACACAGCACTCATGTTCCCAGCAAGGCACTTGATTTCAAGTCAGATCCCAGCATTTTGCTAAACCTGTTTTTCTTCACCAAAGCATCCAGCATACTGCGTGGGCTGAAGACAGGAAATCTCTGCAAGTCTTTCCCAGGCCCAATGTTCACATAAGACATGACCACAGGAAGCACGAGACCCGAGGTTTGCAAGGCCCGGTAAATGCCCTCATCCGCATCCCTGTGCCGCACCGACGCGCAGGTTGCAATAGCACTGCAGAGCACATCACCATCGCGCCGTGAAGAGGCAGCAGTCTCTGCGAGCTGGCATGCGGGAACCTTGGCCAGCACATGACTTCAACACATGTTTTGACACTCCCCTCATATCAACCAACTTTTGTGGGCCCTCAAATTTGCCCTTGATCTGAAACATTGGCAGTTCTCAACTCCTGTCCTTCCCACAATCAATTAAGTGGTGGCAACCATACTCTGAGATGCTCTGAAACCACCGTAGATGCCGCACATTGAGATCACTAAGCCTCAGGCCCCCCGCCCAAACTTCCGAGCCAAGTCCTTGGCCTTCCACGATGTCCCCGGCAAGCCTGCCACACAGCACACAGGGTGTAGATGAGTTCATGCAAAGTGTGCAAACATGTCAACTCAAGCACAAACATAGTTCACACACTTGGCTGTTTTCCATCGAGGCGCACGAGGCCACAGCGGCAGGCCACTTTAGTGTTTATCGATCTACTGCACCGGTTGCGATTTCCATGCAGTGGCAAGGGTTGATAATTGCACCCCGGAAGCAGGCTTCACCTGTGACATTTTGAGTGCGTGGCTCATGTGTGTTACTTGCATCTATCCAACCCCACTTCACGTGCACATGGAAAAGCTCGGGCTTACTCAGCGGGGCAGACGGCCTGTTTGGACTTGGCTTTCAACAAGGCAGCCTTAGACTTGCGCTTCGGCTTTGCCTCTTCTGGGCTAGCCTTTGGATTCGCGGCTGGCTTGGGAGCTTTTTTTGCTGAAGGTTCAGCAGAATCATCGGTCTCCTTTTTGATCTTTGGGAGCTTCCTCAGGCGGCGCAACATGAGACATCTATGGAGATCGAACAGCTCAAGCATGCAAGCGCACATGCTGCCCAAGTTCCGGTTCTTGGCTTTGAAGGATGTCGCCAAAACAACCCTTAGACACAACATGCACACTCAACATTCAAGGGCACACATGCGATGGATATATATGAGCTAGCCAAGCCACTGCCTCTTGATGTCGGAATACTTAACCTCCAAGTCTCTTTGCCGCCTCAAGCAAAGGGTATTCAATCAGACCACCTGTAAAACATCAGTTCTAATGCAAGAGGGGCACTCAGGTGACATCACTGTAACTTTCCCCTCTGCTTGAATGTTCGCAAGGTCATCGTAGAGCTGGTTCAGCTGCGTGACCACTTTTTGCATTTTGTCGCATTCCCTGAACCCATGGCCCGCCAAAAAAAAACAACCCGACCAACGCTCGCGCACACACACACACACACACCCTGAGCAACCAAGGCCCAAGCAGTTGGACGGTGGGAGCCCCAGTGTCCAGCCGCGACAGGAACTTCAGCAAGTCTTCTTTGGCGGACAAACACTCCTTCATGTACTTGGCCAGCACATCCAGGCCCTGGGGAACCCATCTGACTTTGTGGGGCGCAGAATAAATTCGGACCTTGAGGTTTTGCAGGGTGGGAGTAGTCATGCTTAATTCCACGGTCAATGCAGGGCTGATGTTCGTTTTTGCAAACTAGGGTTGCCCTTTGGCAGGAAACTCAAACCGGCACCTTGTTGCCTGCTTCTTTCTGGGCATTCCCATTGTCACCCGTGAAATCTGTCGCAGAGCTCAATCGGGAAAGGGCCATGGTAGCTGTGGTCCCTTCTGCGATTTTCTTCTCCATGATGCCCTCGCTTTCTTTCTGCCCAGACTCACCCTTGGTCCGATAGTCAACCCAGTATTCAACTTCCTCATCATCATAGCGATTGCGCCTTAAGAGGCAACCAGCGACACTTTGATCTCATGTTTGCATTTTGGCCGAGCGGCCGCAGGAAGTTTCCACCTTGCTCTTCACAAAACTGCACGACCTTGCTGGCCTTTTTCCTTAGACCAGGAGTTCTACCAAGCGTGGGCAGCTATGGTACTTCAATTGAGGGAATCCGTAGCCAATCAACCAATATGAAGAATAAGTTTTATGTTGACAAGGGGCGCGCTGAAATTCAGCCCTCCATCACACATTGGCTTCTTCATATC